GAGAGAGAGAGAGAGAGAGAAGAGAAGAGAAGAGAAGAGAAGAGAAGAGAAGAGAAGAGAAGAGAAGAGAAGAGAAGAGAAGAGAAGAGAAAGAAGTGGAGAGAATATTTGGAGGCAAAGCATGCAGAGACAGAACACAGTGTCACATCCCTCTCCACCCTGTTTTGAGAGTACAAGAAAATGCAGATGACCCATATGGCCCTGGACAAAGGTGGTTAGGTACTTTGATCAGTCCAATTATACTGATCCTTGGGAAGCCACTTAAGCCCACTTTCTTAAAGAATAAGATTAAGAAAGTAGCTCACTTCTCATAAAAACCCTGAAATCATTTTTGAAATGAATTTTTCTATGTTTAGACAAAATTTAGAATTACTCTGTCTGCAGAATATGTATTAGTCATAAGTCATACCGATTCCTTTACAGTAGTATATAGAACTTCACTCTCTCACCCAAGAGACACTTACCATGAATGTTCAAAAGCTCTGAGTCAGACACTTGGATCCAGTTTTGGCTCAAAGGCTGGTAATGTAGTTTAGTCATATACTTTTTTTCTGAGCATGTGTAACTTGATCAAAAAGAAAAAACAAAAACAAAATGTGGCTTAATGCTTTGACTCTGTACTACCTTGGGCAACTTATATAACCTCCCTAAATCTCTTCACCTAAAACTTTAGGCTCTAAAGCATGAAGGTAATAAATTTTGCCTTAGAGGGTTGCTTGTTTAAACCTAGGAGCTGATCCAAATAAATACTGATAATAGTATGTGACTCATTTTTATTATTTGTGAATTTCATATATGCATATAAATATGCTTTGATCAAATGCCCTCCCCATATCTTCCCTTCCAAATCCTCTCCTATACCCCCACTACTTTTCCCTCTCAACTTCATGTGTTCTGTTTTTTTAAACCCATTTAGGTCTGCCAGTATGTGCATGAGAGTATGTGCATAGGAGTACTGGAGGTCTCTCAGCTGCATGCATGAAAAACAGAGTTACTCTCCCCCAGGAGCCATTACTTGGCATTAGCATCTCATCTAGAGGGAGGATTTCATGAGGCCTCTTCCCAATTCATACTGGGCTTTTTGCTGGCTTGCTCTTGTGTGGGTCTTATACCTGCAGTCACAGCCACTATGTGTTTATGTGTGCAACAGCCCTGTCATGCCCAGCAAATATTGTTTCACCACAAACGTCCACTAGCTCTGGCTCGTATGATCTCTCTGCTCCCATCCATCCTACTATGATGCCTGAGCCTTAGGGTGGAAAGGCTGTAATATAGACCTCTTATTTAGAACTGACCACTGAATAGTCTCTTACTCTCTGTCCATTGGCCAGTTGTGGGTCTTTCTACTAATTGTCATCTACTACAAAAAGAAGCTCTTCTGCTGCAAGTACAGTACTAATCTGAGTATGAAGGAAAAAACCTTAGCAGTAATTTAATATTATGTTTGTTTAGTGGAATAATAGTATTGTATTCTCCCCTAGGCCTATGACCTAGCCAGTTACATTTGGCCCAGTTAACAGTACCAAGTATGAGTTCTGCCTTATAGAGTGAGCTTTAATTCCAACCAGGAAGTTATTGGTGGCTCTCATTTGTGCCACTAATGTACAAGTGGGCATTCCTTGCCAGCCAGTCATTATTTTCTCTCACAGAGTTCATAGCTAGGTACAATTGATGAATGCTTTTCTCCCAGTGACATAAAGAGAAACTTCCAGCACTATGGAAGTTAGCCAGGTTGGTGCCAGATTGATTTATCCATGTTCTATGACTCAAGCATATGGTGTTTTTGGCAATAGCATCTTACTTTCAGGTTCTGGAGAATAACCAAGAGCAATGCCTTTCACGTTTCTGGGATCTAAAGGACTATACAGAAATGCAAATTTGTTTGTTGGATGGTTGGCTGATTTTTTTTTTTTTATCATGGGGTCTCTCTATATAGTCCTGGCTGTCCTGGAGCTTGCTATGCAGACCAGGATGGCCTTGAACTCACAGAGATCCTCCTGCCATTGCCCCTGGGTGTTGAGATTAAAGGTACGTGTTACCACATCCAGCTACAACTTAATTTTTAAAACGAAATGGACTGAATAAAAGATTATAAAGATAGTTACTTAAGAGTCATTATTTGATAATTGAGAGAAATTTGAAGGATTGGGTTCTCTGAGTGCTCTGTAAAATATAGAGTACAATCTGTATGTTGTGTGTGTTATTTCAAGGCTGACCATTTGGTATCAGACAACCAATTGGAAGGCTATGTCTCCTGGTCTGAGCATTCTCTATCTTCCTATAATTCTTTGTGTAAGGTTGAGATTTTCCCCCTTCCATGTTACCATATCTAGCAACATTATACAAACCAATAGGCTATACTTATATATTTAGGAATATACATATATGTAACAACAATTAAGAAAAAGAGGATATGAATTTAGAAGAGAGAGACAGGGAGTACATGGAAGGAACTGGGAGCAGTCAGGGGAAGGGAGAAAATGCTATAATTTTATTTTAATTTCAGAAAATAAAAATTAAAATAATAAAATTAGCTATAGAGCAACTATCCCCCAAAACATCAATTTCCTCCATATTGGCAGTCTCAACACTCAATAAAAGCTTTAAATATTCGTATTCAACCACCAACGGGACCAGTTCACCTCAACATCCCGAAACTGAACTCAGTATCTTACCCTCTAAATCCATTTCTATTTCCTAGCTTATTGAAGGCTGCCTAACTTTCATTCAGTCACAACATTCAGAAAGCTGGCTGCTGTGTTAAGCTTTCTCCATCTCTGTCACGGTACACCTCTATCTGACAGAACGTCAGTATCACTTAGGACATCCTGCAAAACACCAAACCCCACCCCAGATTCAGAAAGCCTGTAGTATGCCCTGAGAAGCTGAGCTAAAAATAAAATAGAGACCTTGTCTCAAGGGAGTAAGATGGAGAATAATAGACCAGCCTACCTAACATCCTCCTGTGTCTTCCACATGCACATGGATATTTACACTGGCACACATGTGGTATACATTACACACACACACACACACACACACACACACACACACACAATTAATTAAACAAAATCTCTTGGGAACTTGATTCTAACTGAGATTTGAGAGCTGCTGCTGTACCTCTTTATTTATTGTACTTCACATGCCTGCCCTCCACCCACCATCTCTGCTACAGCACCCTCGCCCCCAGGCCCTCCTAACTCATGTGAATACTGAAACGGCTCTCTATGTGCACATCCTACATCCAGTATATCCATTCGTCTATTTATCTAAGGACTTGTAGATGCACTAAACTGAACCCAGACCTTAACAAATATTAGCATGCAATCACGTGATTCCTCTTGCTTCCTCCATTGGGGCAAGCAGGACCCACAGTTAGAGCTCATCGACCGATTCTACTGCCTTTCTCCAGCCTGGATCCCAGTGGTGAGACAGCCTCTACAGACTGCACCTCTCAGTTCAGGTTCTTTTCCGTGGCTCACACCTAAGATCTGCCAAGATCATATGCCTTAGCCTAACGAGAATCTTTATTTTAACTTGGCTTATCCTCTGCCCCACTAGGATATACTCAAATGCCAATTAAATAGTCAAGTGCCCCATGTTTCAGAAAAAAAAAAAAAAAAATCGGTACTATCTCTGTGTTTCACACAGAGCCCAGTTTACCAGTTGTTTAATATTTGATACGCTCCATTCTAAAGTGAAGATCTGAGTCTTGACTAAGCCAATATCTAATCTAAGATCAGGCGTAAGTAAAGATTAAAGCGTTTGCCATCCACTTTTACATTATACACCGTAGTGCAGTCCTTGGAGATTCAGCTTCCATTGTGGTTCTGCCACTTCCCACATAAGTGAGCCTGGGCCTGTCCCTTGATACCTATGAGCCACACCATGGCGGCCTATAGGAGAAGAAAATCACACTCCTCCGTGAGGCTGAGGGCCCTGGCAGATTTGTGTGCCTGGCACTAAAGAGGTGTTCAGTCAACAGTTGTCGTTGCTATTGTTAGAAAAAGAACAGTGATGTTGTTGTGTGCCTCCAGGCAAGGTCATGACTGTGGATCTCTGAGTGGGGTGGGAGCTGCAGTTTAATGAACACAGGCCTTTCTCGGGACTTCCTTGAATCAGTTTGCAGAGTGCGCTCATGGTGAGACTGTTACGCATTTCTTCCCCACCTCCACTCTCAGCGCTACGAGCAAACTCTGGGCCATGCCAGGTCAGCTTGGCTAGGCTGGAGCTGTGTCCCAGGCCTACTTGTAATTATGTCTTTAAACCTGATTCTTTTTCCTCAGTCCAGATCAAGACTGAGCTTGTAGGTTATATGTGGACCTTAAGCCAAGAAGAACTTAGATGCCTCAAGTGTCAGCTACACCGTTTCAGATACTTAACTCTACCCTTTCAACTCACACAGGAGTTCTCCCACAAATCCACTGGGTTTTGAAGAACTTTCCAGAGAATCAGGTCTGGATAATTAATCCAAAGTTCCCAAGACATATTGCCACATTCTTGATAAGATTAAAACAAAACAAAACAAAACAAAAAACCAAGATCTGGAACAACACATAATAACACGGGAGTGAGTAAATGCAGGCCCAGCCCACACAAGTGGACCTGACAGCTCACTCGGCAGTTCCACAAGGTCAGGGAGGTGGCAAATACCTGTCACTCCAGGCCTTAGGCAATGGAGGCCGAAGCATCCAAAACAAAGAAGGAGGAGGAAGAGGAAGAAAAAGAGACGGAGAGGGAGCAGGAGGGAAAATGAAAGAATGAAAGAAATTAAGAAAGGCCAGGCGGTGGTGGCGCACGCCTTTGATCCTAGCACTGGGGAGGCAGAGGCAGGAGGATTTCTGTGAGTTCGAGGCCAGCCTGGTCTACAGAGCAAGATCCAGGACAGGCATCAAAACTACACAGAGAAACTCTGCCTCAAAAAAACTAATAATAATAATAATGATAAAATTTTAAAAATTAAAAAAAGAAATTAAGAAAAAGGAAATAAAAATATGGTTTTGGTTGAAATATAGAAGATTCCAAGCATGATGGCATATGCCTTTGATCCCAACACTCGGGAGGCAGAGGCAGGTGGATCTCTATGAATTCAAGACCAGCCTTGTCTACATAGTGCATTCCAAGCCATCCAAGGGATACACAGTGAGACCCTGTGGGAGGGGGGGAGTCACATATACATACAAACATACAAGCATACATACATACATACATACATACGAGGGGAAAGCTAAAAGGAAAAAGAATATACCACACTATGAACAGGGGTTGACTCTGAGTGGTGGGAAGAGAGGTAATTTCTCTGTTGACATTTTAAATATTTGTTGTTGTTTTGTTCAGATTTACTAAGATATATTTATAGATAAAGATATATGTATATTACATAGTATTATATATTATAATTATGATATATTAATTGTATGCAATTGTATATAATTATGTTGTATGTAATTATATAATATTTATTATAATATATAATATAATTCTATTATATAATATTAAGATATATAGGATATTTGTTAAGATATAAAAAATAACAATTATTATTTTTATTGTTGGTATGTGTGTGTTTGTAGGTGCTTTTGGATGCCCTGGAGCTAGAATTATAGCAGTTGTGAACCACCCGACATGGGTTCTGGGAATAAAACTCATGTCCTCTCCAAGATCAGTTCATACTCAACCACTGAACCTTCTCTCAAACCCTCACATTTTATATTTTAAAGAGGATTGGGTAAATATAAACAACATTTTTTTCTATTTTATAGTCATATATTGAATGTACAAATTTGGGCTTTATTTAAAACATTTTTATATTTACAGATAATGAAAACTTTACTTAAAATTAGTAAAAAGTGCTCGCTCCCTGGAAAATCATAGCACATTTTGGAACTGTTTCTGAGTTGGGCTTAGCCAAGTCTCCTATTTTCTCAGTCATGTAACTGTAATGCTATGGCCCGGAAGTATGGTTGCCTGTGGTCATCATAGCTGTTTAATAACTTCCTTGACATCATGAAGATTTTGTTACCTTCTTGACTACCTTATAGACAAGGTTATAACAGGTCTTTGGCTCTATCAGCTGTCAGGCTCTTCCCAGCCGTCCATTTCCACAAAGTAATATGGTAAAACACAGGACCACACAGGCAAGGGCTGGTTTTAATTGTTAAATGTTTCCCGTTGTGTTTGGTTTCCTCCTTCTCCCTGGTGGACTCCACGAGAACTCCTCTATAAAGAGCTGTTCCTTCAGGCCTTCCAATCCAAATAGGAGCCAACTCCCACAGCATATCCTCCAAAGAAACAGCAGGTCACAAGCCAGTATTAGCGTATGACATCTCAGAACCTATGAAGAAAACAGATGCCAGCTTGATCACAAAGAACATAGAAAATATCAAAGGACTCTTGTTACTGTCTTGCAGTGGCCAGAACATTCTTAAGTTTCTGTTCCAAAATACCTTGGCAGCCATTTTACTCTAGGGAGCCAGGGAGGGGAAAGTCTGTTCTTGCAACATTGCCACCAGGCAAGGGGGAAAAACCCCGGTCTTACACACCCAAACAGGGCTCTGCCTCTGACCTCATACACCCAGGCAAACAGACATTCCTGACATGTCATGCGTTCGGCCTAGCCTCTCAGGACCACTTCTGAGACACTGAGAGTACAAGGTACCCCAAACGGATCCTTTGGGGATATAATGTGAACACCTGGCTCTTCTACCTCCTGTATGCTTTGCTTAAGTGAGTAAGCAGATTCAGCCATTCATTTCTGTAAAGCAATGCTGCCCTAGATGACTGTACTGAAACCCCATCAAAGATGCTGGGTGAAGGGTGTCTGGATACTAGAAAGACACTTTGACACTTTTCTAGGAAGTCTGACAAATGCAGTGTAAGGCTAGATGAACTCAAGATTAAGGAGCAAAGTAGGTAGGTAGATAGATAGATAGATAGATAGATAGATAGATAGATAGATAGATAGATAGATAGAGATAAATGCTGTGACAATGAAGAAGGGTATCTAAGAGGAATATTGATATGGGCTTTGGAAAGAAGCAAAGAGTAAGAGAATCTGGAACAAATTTCTATTCTATAAAAACAAAAGCACTTTGACCTCGCTTTGGGTCAATGTCTGAAGATGTAAATTTTATGGAAGAGACCCAAGCCTTACAAAAGTTCCACAAATCCTCTCCTTGCCTAAACCAGGGACAACCCCACTCTCTTCCAGCTTCCCTGTGTGAAATTCAATGATCTGTAATATTTGTATTATTCACTGATTTCTTTTGAATTTTGGCAAAATGAATATATCAGTGCTAAAGAAAATTACAAAAAAAAAAAAATCTGATTGAAAGCCAACTGGAAAGATTTTCTGGTGACTGTCCAGGGCTTTGGTATTTGTGTTGCTGCCTCCCCAAGAAGGCTTCCACACTGTGGTTTTCCCAAGCTCTCTCATAGGATCCAAACAATCTTAGAAAAAAAACTACACCAATCATTAACACTTTTCATTTTACCAGACCATGGGAAAACCCCAAGAACATAGGTAACTCCTTCCCTGAAGGAAATGGGAGCCCTAAAACACAGACTAAGAAAGCCTCAGCTAAGATTTTAAAGGCTCTCAGGACAGTCTTACAGAGGAGGAGAATGTACATTCACCTCACAGGGAGAAAAAAAATGTGCAAGAATTGATTACAAGAAAGAAAGTATGTGGAATACACTGAATCGGTAACTTAAAATACAGGGCAGCACAACTGAGAGAGAGCCAGCCCCAAAACTGTGACCATGGGAGAGCTGTCCCCATCACCCATCTGTCTCATGGCAACATGGGTGGGGGAGAAATGCTCCATCCCCGCCCTACTCCCCACCCCCTATCCCCACCCACCCATCAACACCCGAGGCAGGCAAAAAAGCTGGCCATGCAGTCATAAGAATGGGAGAGCTGTCTCTGACCCCCACCAGCTACAAAACTTGGGAGAGCATGCCCTGCACCTCAACAGAGTGGCAGAGTAGAGTCAATCCTGCTAGTGCAAGTGTGGGTGAGCCAGCCCCGAAGACGTGTGCATGGGAGAGCTGCCCCCATTTCTCCTCTGTCTTATGGTGGCATGGGCAAGGGAAAGAAGCCCATCCCCATTAATGCCTGGGGCAGGTGGGAGAGCTATCCCCAATCCCCACCAGCTGCAACACTCAGGAGAGCAGGCCCTGCACCTCGCCAGGGCAACACAATTGAGCCAACACAATTAGTGCAAGTGTAGGTGAGCCAGCCCCAAAATTGTGAATATGGGACAGCTGTCCCCATTAACCATCTGCCTTGTGACAGCATGGGCAGAGGAAAGTTGCCTACTCCCTACCCCATCAACGCCTGAGGCAGATGGGAGAGCTGACCTTGTGGTCGTAAGTGTGGGAGAGCCACCCCTGACCCCCACCAGTTGCAACAATCAGGAGAGCAGGTCCTGTGCCTCGCCCGGGCAACACAATTGAGCCAACACTGTTAATGCAGGTGTGGGGGAGCCAGCCCATGGGAGAGCTGCTGTCCCCATTTCCCATCTGGAGGACCAACCCTATAGCTGCCCAGGACCAAGACCTAGGGTTATGACTGGTAGATGCCCCAACATCCACCTCATCTATGATCTACTGGAGCACGTTTAAAGATCTGACCCACAGACCCAAAGATACAGGATCTCTACAATACAAGGCACCAGTGGGATGTCCAGGAACAGTCCTAGTAAGGGCCCAGCATTGAACATGTAGTGGAGACCAGGGACCTCCAACTAGACCAATGACTCTTTGCAATGAACATTTGTAAAGAAGGATATATGGACAAAGAGGTATACGGCGTGACTTGTTGGGTCACACTGTAGCTTCTATGACAAGATTTTTCATTCTTCTCATTTTATTTTCTTCATTTTTTCTCTTGAATATTGTTTTATTTGGGGGGGATGCAGGGATGGAGGGTAGATGCAAAGGGATGGGGAATGAATGGGGAAAATATATATAATCTACCAGGGCTGGAGAGATGGCTCAGCAGTCAAAAGCACTGGCTGCTCTTCCAGAGGACCTGGGTTTGATGTCTAGCCCCTACATAACTGTTCACAGTTGTCTGTAACTCAAGTTCCAGGAGGTCCAGTGTCCTTTCCTGTCACCAGGCACAGATGTGATATACACACAGACACATAGGCAAAACATCCATACATGTAAAAAAAATACAGTAATTAATAAAATAATTTTTAAACATATATATATATATAATCTACAAGGACTTACTAGAAATGGAAAGCCCTGGACTTTCTTCTGAACTGACTGAGTTTTCACAAGACCTGCTATTTGCTGGATTTTGAGACACACCCCCAGATTCTTCAAGCCCCTTCATCTCCCCCGCCCCAGATGAATGTGATACAGCTTTAACTGCCATATCAGCTAAGGACAGGCTTAACTGCTTCAAATAGTATCAAGTGGGGAAGAGCTTTTTGATGTTATTTTTTTTTAAGTGAGGCGAAACTACTCACATATGTCCAGGAAGAGGCGAAATGGGGATTTTCAGTTACAGATAGGTGTGATATGAGTCAAATGACTGTAGTGGGTAGCCATTCCAGCTTTGATCTGGAAGTTCCAACCCCCACTGAGGCTTTGGTAACTGTCATGCCTACAAGGCAGGGCCAAGAGAGGACCCTGAAGACCTGAGATCCAGATACACCAGCTCTCTTGGTTCCTAGACCCTAGACACTGGAGGTAGACCGAGCAGAATTCTCCAGAGAACACCGCCGAACTGCGCTACACTGTTCCCAGACCCTGTAAACTATCCCTTCACTTGTAAGTTACCCCGCAAAATAAACCTCACTTTTAACTACGTGGAGTGGCCTTAATAATTCACCAATAAATTGCTAACAGATAACAAACACTGGGAAGAAATAAAAAACACAAAACTTGAAAGCAAGAAAATTCCCTAAGTTAGTGGTAACATCAAGAGAAGCACCAGGTCAGTCAAGGGCTGTATCTAATAGCAATCTAAGATGCCACAATTAAGGGAAACGTGTACAAATAAGAACATGGCACATAAAGAGGGGCCAGAATATTGATTTGTAGGCAAACATTTAAGTCTCATTGAAAAAGCTGCTTGAGACCCATTCAAGGTCTAGAAATCCATTGTTTAGAGGTTCTAGTGGATCTTCTACAAGACCCAACAGGGCAAGAAACAAAACATCAGAGAGCTAATTAGTGGTGGGGCATGTAGTAGGTTAAACCTGCTCTATACCTATTGCCAGAGCTTCATAACCCAGCTCCCTATGAAATCCCCGCCTCATAAGCATCTCAGAGGAAAAGGGCTAAGAATGATCAAAAAATGATCTTGACTGTTTTCCTCTATTTTCGTAGACAAATTCAGTTGCAATGAAGGCGTCCTTCTGGAACCACAGCTAAGAGAAGTGAGAAATTGAAATTTTGTTTTCATTTAACCTAATTATTTATCCCTGCTAATGATTGATGTAGGTATGCTTTTATTACAGATGCCAGTTTTCTGGGAAACTATGTAGTTAGCAAAAATCCCCTCTCATTTTCACAGCAAGCCATGTGTATTTGATATACACCACCTCAAAGAACACTGGTCCCTCCACCCCAGCACGGTGCAGTGAGGAAAGAACATAGTGATTCTGAGAATATACTGGTGTAATTTTCTGTTAACTGAAAGTAATTGGCAGTTCTTAGAAAGCCTCCAGAATGACCTGCTTGTAACATCATTGGCTTTATTTGATGCAAAAAAGCCGTTTGCCCATTTAACTATCAGAAACTTTCTATTTATCATCTTAGATGCGTAAACACCAATGGATATATTAAACAAAAGTCTATGTCTACTTTAAATTGTTTTGAAGATCCATGTTCATGTGGCTGTTCTGTTTAAGAACTGGTTGAAATAAGACCATGCAAGTGAAAATGCAGTGTAGGATAGGACTACAGTCATTGCATACAGCTGGGGGGATTTTAATAGTGGAGTCTTAGAATTTTAAGATCATACTTATAAAGGAAGATGTTTTGTTTCATTTTGTGTGCACGGTCAATGAGCACCTATATCACACTGCTAAATGGCAGTCCCAAATAAAACGAATTTAGAAGAAAAAGCCAAGTTGGATTTGTCTTATGTGAAGAAAATGACTTCAAAGAAAATTTCAGAACTATTCCTAACCTAAGCCTTGAGGGGGAATAGGTATAAATGAGCATCGCAGGGTCACATGACCACCCTGGGGTTGTAGCACAGTTTGTTTCATTTGGCTCCCAGTTCACTGTGGCCTGCTTCTCCTTCTTCCTCTCCCTTTCTTTCCCCTCTCAACTCCCTCTTTTTTCTTCCTCTTTTTTTCCTCCTCTCTT